TTTGTTTTTTTTAACTTCATTGTGATTCCTATCTATTTTTTCATCCATCATGTTGAGTTTCCTCAGTATTACCATTTAGGATTCCTTTTCAGGCGATTTACCCATTTCCTGTTGCTTGGGGTCTGGTATTGGAGAATTGTAGTCTTCTTTTGGGAGAGTCATGTTTTCCTGTTTTTTCATGTTTCTCATATCTCCGTGTTGATGTCTGGCCATCTGGTGGTGTAGTCACTTTTAAATTTTGGAGTGGTTTTTGAGGGGAGAGACTCTTTCCTATAGAAGTGTTTTATATTGATAGTTGGTTTGGGCTTTGTAGATTTGATTCTAGGTAAGCACAGTAGTAAGTGCCAGCTCACTCCCCACACTTCTCTGCTGGTGCAGGTGGGCCACTGTGTCAGATGGGACACTGGGTTCCCAGTAAAGTGGTGTGGATCTAGGCAGCTTGCATACTACTGGCATGCAGTCTGCTGGTACTAGCAGGCTCGCTGCCTCAGGCAAACCCCTGAGCTCATGAATAGGAGGTAGGAGGGCATGGAACCAGGCATCCAGTGCAGGGGAGCAGGGTAGACCCTGCTTACTGCCCCCCAAGGGAGGGGGCAGGGCATTGAGTCAGCTGGAACTCTGGGCTCCCTGGGGAAGGAGGACATGGATCTAGACAACTGGCGTATTCCTCCCACTCCCTTCTGGCACTGGCAGTTCCCCTGTGTTGAACAGGGCTCTGAGCTCCCATGGGGAAGGAGGGCATGTATCCAGGGAGCCAGTGTGCTCTGCCCCCATGCTCTCTGACAGGGTATGCAGGGCCACTGGGTTGGCAGGACTCTGAGCTCCCCTGGCTCCTATCCCATTTGCTCTTTCCTTTGATAGAAAAATGTTCTGGGGACCTCTGCTGATACAGTTTTCCTTTTGGGGATTAGACCTGTGGTAGCAATATATTCTATTTTGTCATAACCACATTTATATACATGAATTTTATATTATTTTTAACATAGATCATAATTGTAGGAAAAAAGAGGTTAGATTATTATAACAGTAAGTGACTTTGTAAGTAATAAACTGCCTTAAATACTAGACTACTTTTTGATTCCAAAGTATTGCTATTTGCTGCCTTTTGTTAATCATATTCTAAATTTTCCTGAACCATCTTGGGGTGCTTAATTAGTGGTGTCAATAAAAAATAATTAACAAAGAAATTCCTTTCCCTCATGTGACTGAGCTTAGGAATTTATTTCTTATCTTCTTCAGAGGCCTGGCATTTAATTACTAGCAAGAAAGATTATAATTCAGTAGAAGCTTGGTGGAATTTGGTGGGGGTTGGGAGCTCCAGTCAATTTCATTAAAACACTAAGTTTTAAAAAAAGCTCATTTCTACTTGCTGCATGGTTTTACTATGTACTATGAAGCATATAAAGTAAGAAATTTAAAGAAGTTAATTATGAATTTTTCCACTTACTCAATATAGTGTTGCTTTACTGCTATATATTATTATGGAATACAGAATTTTGTCATTGTGAGTGTTAAATAAAATAGATTAACATTTAATGGCTAAATGATTTAGTGTTGTTAGTCAAGTGATTTAACACAATTCTTTCAGAAAAGTTGTGAAATCATATTAGCAGAGGATAGGTTAGGTAGAATTTATATGTAATAAAAATTGAAGTGACTTAATCTGAACTTAACTTATAACTTAAACAACTTTATTGAGTGGGTGTGTGTGTATGCACAGATTTTAAGAGTAAATATTTTAAAATGGAATTTTCCTTTTGCTGAAACCTTTTGATACATGCATATATGGTATATATGTGTACATATGATACTTTACTCTATATATTTCTTTAGAAGCTAAGTAAGGGCCAGCCCGGTGGCGCACTGCTACAGTGCGCCGCTTGGGAGAACGGCGGCGCTCCCGCCGAGGGTTCGGATCCCACATACAGACCGGCCGCTCACTGGCTGAGCAAGGTGCGGGCACAACACCAAGGGTTGCAATCCCGTTGCCGGTCCCGGTCCAGTACGGGCGCGACACTGAGGGTTGCAATCCGTTGCCGGTCACGAAAAAAAAAAAAAGACAAAAAGGAAAAAAAAAAGAAGAAGCTAAGTAAGCCTCTTATCAGCTTTACAACCCAAAAGTGGTTGCTATTTTTGTTTTGCTTTGTTTTGCTTTTTGAGGATCTGAGACTCATCCCTTTGAAATATAAATATCTAGGAAGATAGCACTCCTATCTCCCTGTCACCAGGGAAGTCTAACCTAGGTGCCTTTCTCTAAGCTATAACCATTTGCTTGTCAGAGAGATAAGAGAGGTTTTATTACTCAGATAAAGACAATTAGCTAAAACAAATTCCCTTGCCAGGTGAACTATAAAAGCGTGCACTGAAATGGTGCTGTCAGATCCTCTTACAGGGGACAGGTTACCCTTCGTCTTGAAAACATATGTATGTAATGGATTGTAGCTGCTTGGCTGTTTAAATAAGATGGCATTTTATCTATCTTTGTAATCTCTTTTTCAAAGATTGCCTATCATATTGTGCTCTGGATATGCTTATTCAGTAATAAAACTGCTTTCCATTCTGTGTTTTGTGGAGAGGACTCTGTTTTGGTAGGACTTTTATTTCCCAACAATATCCAACACACATCATATAGTTAGGTTGTAAGGAGTCCAAACATGAGCAAGATTTGAAACATAGCCTTTGAATAGGCTGACAAATAACGCTAGCGAGAGAGAAGAGGAAAGGCTTCCCTAAACACAGCATATGAGCTAGTTCTGAAAAGAGGGGTAAGATTTGGACAGGCAGAGATGAGGTGAAAGCATTTCTCAAAAAATTGAAGCCACAGAGGCAGACTGAGGGGGAGGGAGTCAAGGAAAGGAAATGGTAGGAATGACTGATTCCAGATCACAGAGGGCTTTGATGCCATCTTAAGGAGTTTACATTTTTTCCTAAATCCATAGGACTCTAGGGGTTGGTTTGTTTATTCATTCACTTTATAAGTGGAATTAGTAACAAATACAGCTGATTTTCAGAAAGTTTACTTTGACATAATGTGCAGAATGGATTGGATTGGGTAAAGATGAAGGAGAGACCATTTTGCATGCTGTTGCACTAGTCCAGCTGAAAGGTAGTGAGGGTTTGAATAAGAATATTGGCTGTAAAGAGGTATGTTCAAGAGACATTTAAAAACAGAAAATTGGCAGATTTTGGATGTAGATTTGGTGTGGAGAGTAAGGGAAAGAAATGAGCTGAGGAAGACTTCAGCTCTCTGCCCTAGGGGACTGGCAGATCCTGATGTCATTGACAAAAGGAAGAAAGGGAATTGGTTTTAGAGATAAGTGTAATGGGCCAGCAAGGTGTTCAAGTGGGGCTGCCTAGTGGGCAGTTAGAAATGTGTGTGTAAGGGCCAGCCCGTGGCTCATTTGGGAGAGTGTGGTGCTGATAACATCAAGGCCACAGGTTTGGATCTTATATAGGGATGGCCGGTTAACTCACTTGGGAGAGCATGGTGCTGACAACACCAAGTCAGGGTTAAGATCCCCTTACCAGTCATCTTTTTAAAAAAAAAAAGAAAGAAAGAAAGAAAGAAAGAAAGAAATGTGCGTGTAGAGTTCAGAAGAGATGTAGATTTGAGAGACATCTTCCTAGGTGTTACAGTTGAGCCCCTGGATATAGACGAGACTGCTAGGAGATAAAAGATAAGAGATCCAAGTATACAGCCTGGAAAACTCCTGCATATGTTGTGCAGAAGGAAGAGGAACCAGTAAAAGAGGCAGCAAAGGCCCAAGTTGCTAGAGGTAAGAAATCAGAAGAATGCAGTAGCCATGAAACCAAGAGCAAAGAAAGTTTCCAGAAGAGTATTTAGTTAGCTTTAGATGCTGCAGAGAGATTAAGGGGGATGAGGATTAACAATTTAATAACACAGTTGCTATTCCATATGTATAAGAATAATAAGTGATCAGCTAACATCCAGCAGTGGTCATCCTTTTTTTCAGGTTTAACAAATGTTATTTTTGTGCACTAAAATAACCTTAAATGTGTACTTCTTTGTTAAATAGAAAAAAGGTGCATCATAGTGAAGGCGGTTGTTTACTGACAGCCAGACACACACACATGCGTATCTCCCTGCATACACAATGTGGGGCTCCATTGTGATAGACAGCTAAGCCCTCAGTTTGATGTACTTTCTCCTCTCATCCAGAGTTTCTGTAACCACATAATGATGTATTAGTATCCTGAGGCCTCCAGAAAAAGTTCAGTATATAGAACAACTGAAAACTAAGTATGTCTTTTATATAAAATTATGTTGGGATATGTTTCAGCCTCCTGGTTGCTGAAGCTTTAGGAATTGCTACCATTGCAGTGAGAGCAAAAGTTTCTGAAGTAGAGCAACAGTACTCTCAGCCATGCTGCTGAATGGTCTTCAACTATTCTCACTTTGGGTGTTTCTGTTTTATTTTAGAGTAGTGCTACATTTTGGGAACTATTAATTTGTCACCAGAAAATGTTTTGCTTTACTTTTCTTAATAAAAACTTGCTGCACTTATTAAATTTGATATGGATTCAGGGTCAATAATTTTTTTCTGGCTTTATATCTGGTTTTATAATAAAAGTCAGGGGAAAGTTAAGAGTCACTTAACATAGACTTTCTAGTAAGCTACTAGAGTACAGTCGATTTCCCTATTCCTATTTTACCTGAATGCCTAAAGAACAATACATTAGTGCAAAGCAAGATAATTAAAGTAAGTGATGAAAATAATAAATTCATTTCTGGCTAGCTCTAGGTGAGCTGTTGCAATGACTGGCTTTAAAAAATGCATTAAGTACTGAGGTTAGCAAAACTGTGTAAATAACTTTACTGCTTTTATGCTTGTGCTTTAAGATATACTTACATAATCTCCAATTTTTTTTCATGACACCATTCTTACTCACATTTGTATTTTGTTTTTCAGTGAGAAGTGAGATATATTTTAACTAAGGTGACTCTGAGATTACATCTCTAATTTTGTGTTTTCTTGTAGCTGCTAGGTGAACTGATCCTAGACCGCCATAACTTTGTCATTATGACAAAGTATATCAGCAAGCCAGAGAACCTGAAACTGATGATGAACCTCCTTCGAGATAAAAGTCCCAACATCCAGTTTGAAGCCTTTCATGTTTTTAAGGTAAAGTACAGTCTATGAAAATAATGTTGTGAGCATTATCTTTGTTTCAAATAGCAAACTCCCTACTTTCTTTATACTTCAGAGAAAATTAAATAGGCAGGCTTTCTGTTTTGCATTTAGATGAAATTTTAGTTATCTAATGAATGCCCATTTCATTAAGCTATCTTAATTAATGTATCTTCTAAAAGGGATACTAGCTAATCCACGCCTCTAAATATTTTTTTTTTCCACTGAGAGACGGGTGATGCTATTTCCCAAAAGTTACTAAAACGGTCAGTAATTGAGTTAGACCCCAGACTCTGAGGGTCAATCTCTGAATGCTTTGCTTTCTGCAAGCTCCATCTCTCTGAACCTTTAATGAAGCTCTGAAGAAATACAAAAGTACTGCTCACTTTATTAATGATTTAGAAATATTATTTGTTATAATGCATTTTGCTATGATAGAAAATTAGCCCCTATAACATCTGGGTTTTTTTCTTCTATATTTTTTCTTTAGCATAAGAATAATAAAATCACCACCCAAAAACTTTAGATAATGGATTTTAAAAAAAAAAAAAGTAGGGTAGGGGGGAGAAATCTAATCTGTAATTGTATACTCTGTAATGATTCTATTTTAAACATTTTGGTAAATTTACTTTTCCTGTGCACATATTTGAGGGGCTTTTCTATAGCTTTACTCACATTGTACAAACAATTGATGTCCTGATTTTATTCCATACATAAATATTTTCATTATTGCTATATATAATTTTTAGAGCCAGTAGTTTTATTGGTATCATAGTTTATCATTGGGTGTATTTATTCTGTTTACTTAAATAGTCCTGTGTCACTGATATTTAGGTTATTTTCCATTTTTCCTACTATAATTAATGCTTCAGTGTGCATTTTATGCATCTGGCTAGCTTTTCCCCTATGCAGGATTATGGTATTATTTTCTCCCTTCCAAGTACTAACCAGGCGGGATCCTGCTTAGCTTCCCGGATCAGATGAGATCAGGCACGTTCTGGATGGTGTGGCCATAGACTTTAGGATTATTTTCTTATGATAAATATCTAGAGCAGAATTAAGGGTTCAGATAGTCCTAGGCTTTTTTTGGCCTTTATAATGTATATTGTGATAGAATTTATAAGTCTATAAATGGGAGACATGGCAATTTATAAAGGTAATTGTTGCTTTTAGAGATAAAAAAAAAGTTTTAGTCGGTCTTTCAGCCGCCAGATACCTGTTGTCCAAAAAGCCACTAGAGCAATTAAAGTTTTAAGTTATAAATTCCATTCAATTCCATTTGAAATCCCAACAGGAGTTTTCCTGAAACTTGACAAGCCGACTCTAAAATTTGTATGGTATAGCATTAGCCTAGGGTTATCTGTGGCAATTGTGAAAAATGAGGTAGGGGAATCCACCCTACCAGATATTAAGATTTATTGTGGATTTATAATAAATGAAGACAGTATTGTATTGACACAGAGATAAATAAATAAAACAGAGTAGAAGGCCCAGAAATAAACATATATAAATATGTAACTTGGTATTCGATAGTAGAAAGATTACGAATCAGTGAAGTAAGGGTTAACTGTACAAAAAATGGTTCTAGGATAATGGGTTATCCATATAGAAAACCCTACCCTCTACCATACACAGAAATAAATTCTAGGTAAAAATCTACACTTAAAAAGCAAAAATTTTTAACATTTAAAAGAGAAAATAGATGACTGTCTTTATGATGTCAAGGTGGGAGGAATTCCTTTAAAAAGAAAAAAAAATAACAAATCATAATTTAAAATATTGATGCGTGATGTCATTAAAATATAAAACCTCTGTTCAGAAAAGACATCATAAGCAAAGTGAAAAGACAGGATAGAATGTGACACATATAACTGGCAAATCATTAAGAAAAAGACAATTCAACAGAAAAACGGGCAAAGGATACAAGTTGGTAATTTACAGATCAGTAAACCTAATTGGCCAATAAATAGGGAAAGATGCTTATTTTACTTATAATTGTGGAAATGGCCATTAAAATTTCAATGAGATATCACTCTATGTCCTCAATATTGGCAACAATGTTTAAGTCTAACAATATCAAATTTTTGTAAGATTGGAGAGCAATGGGAACTCATACACTGTGTAAATTGGTACAACCACTTTGGAGAGGAGTTTATAGCAAAATAATGAATTGGAATCTCTGAAATCCATTTCTCGGCAATTTCCTAGAGACACTCTTGGACATGTGCATAAAAAGTCCTGTACGAAGATGTTTATTGCAATATTATTTAGAATGATATAAAATGGGAAAAAACATAAATGGGTATCAATGGGAGACTGGGAAAATCAGTTGTGCTGTATTCATACAATGGCATACAGGAATGGATTAAAATAAATGGAGTTATGTGGATCAGAGTGGCTAAATCCCAGAAACATTTTATTGTGTGGAATAAGCAAATGTTAAAAAGATGTCATTCATCTGAAGTTTGAAGTTCATGCAAAACAGTACTCTGTATGGATTTATATATAAGCAGTTATAGCCTAAAAACATTCATGGGAACAGCAAGTACCAAATTCAGGATAGCGGTCATCTCAAAAGAAGGGCTAGGGACGAGAGTGAATGATATAATGGAGAAGCATCCAACAACTTTCAATTATATCTGTAATGTTTTATTTTATTAAAAAATCTGAAGGTTAAGTATAGCAATAATGTTAGATTTTGATAGAGCTGTAGGTGGCAACATGAAGTCTGATATGTTATTTCCTGTACTCTTCTCTGTGTTAGAATTTCATAAAAAGTAAAGAAATTGGATGAACAAAAATAGAGTGCTGTAGGACTAGAATATGCCTACACATTATAAAATTACAAATAGCTACATGCACAGGAAAAAATGCTGAAAGAATGTACAGCAAATTTGGGGTGGAGGAATTATGTAAGTGATTTTTTTACTTTCTTTGTTTCCCTAATTGTCCACTTGCATAATCAGAGTGATAAGAATGGTGGCAATGAGGAGGAGGAGCTCAGGGGATTCTAGAGATATTTTAGAGCATCCTGAACTTCTAAGCTGCTGGCCTCCATCACCTCCCTCCCTTCCCAGGGTTTAAATTTTTCCCTTGATGTGCAGCGGGGTCCAATACATTGTTTTTGTGGGGTCATCAGTGCTCATACACTCCAAACTAGCTTGCAGATTCAGGGATCAGGTCCTTTCTTAAATAGGAAAAAAAGTTAAATGTCTCTGATCAGTACCAACAAGTATTGTGTTCAGATATTCTAAATACTTTATTACTCACTTATTCAAATGAATTTGAATTGAATAAGAATATAGTTGCCTTATTTTACACTTTCATGGACTGGAATTTTGCTTTGTAACAGGAGCATGTACAAAGCTTCCCTGGCTTACAGCATGCGTCAAAGACAGGGCAGCAAAACAGAAGACTGACCTCTCTATACCTCAATTTGGCTCAAATCTCTCTTGGCAAAATAGGATCTGAATGAAGTTAATGAATATGTGTGTAAGATATTGATTTTTTATTTTTCATAGAAAGCATTCAGATTAAAATGAAGAACAAAATATTTTTAGTTTTCTGAACTAAAAATATTTGAGTTGTGGTCATGATATGTGTCTTCTCATGATGCTTGAGAACTCCATAAATCACATTTCTGAGACGTGTTCTGTAAACTCAGGGATACAGGCAATGAGACTGCATTCTGAAAAGAGAAGTCATGCGTAGTTTCATTTGTTTAATTTGTTTTGAGGGTTGAAAGTGGATTTTTTTAAAAAATGGGGACAGCAGAAAGAGAACCAAGAAAGTTTCTATATTAGACATAATATTCCAGAGACTTGGTTCCCCACACCTTGCATTAGAAGTGCATTCCCTGTGATCAGTGGTTCATCTCAAGTCTTTACATGTACACTTCAGTGTCCAGCTGCCCCAAGGGATGCACTATTGTATTAGTTGCCTCCAGTCAACAATTCCCTACAGAGGCAGTGTTCATAAAAAATAAAAAGGCAAAAAAACCATAAAAAATAAAAATACAGAAAATTTTAAAACATGAAAACAATATTTTTCTTATATTTATGGTACAGTACATGGATTCAATGGAATTGATCCAATGATGCCTGTCTGCATATTCCACTACATTTTACATTTATTTTGGATTGAAACAGAAGCTTAGTTTGTCCATTATATTTAATCCTTTTTTTTTTTTAGAAAGACTGTTATGAGTTATGTAGTTACGACAAAATGCCACATGATTTTTAGTTAAAACTTCATAGCAACTCCCTTGTAAACAAATGGTAACTAGAGGAGACACACATTTTGGCTTCAATATGTGATTTCCTAACACACTAATAGGTATTTTATAAACATCAGGCATTTTGTGTAACAATATAAACAAGCCTGGAATAGCTTTTCCTTATATATGTAACCAGTTTAGCTTATTGTGGTGAAATTTACACAACATAAAATTCACTATTTTAACCATTTTAAAGTGTACAATTCAATGACATTTAGTATATTTACAGTGTTGCACAACCATCACCAATATCTAATTCCAGAACATTTCATCATCTGAAAAGGGAACTCTGTAATCATTAAGCAATCACTCCCCATTTTCCCTTACCTCCAGACCATGGCAACCACTAATCTGCTTTCTGACTTTCTGGATCCGCCTATTCTAATATTTCATATAAATGGAATCCTGCAATATGTGGCCTTCTGTGCCTGATTTTTCTCATTAGCATAATGTTTTCGAGGTTCATCCATGTTGTAGCATGATCAATCAGTACATCATTTTTTTTTTTGTCCTTTTTGAGACCCGCCGCACCGCACTCAGCCAGTGAGCGCTGTGAGTGCACCGGTCATCCCTATATAGGATCTGAACCCGCGGCGGGAGCGCTTGTGCGCTCCCAGCGCCGCACCCTCCCGAGTGCGCCACGGGCTCAGCCCCATTTTTTTTAAATGACCAAATAATACTCCATTGCATGGATACATCACAATTTGTTTAGCCATTTGTCAATTGATGGACATTTGGATTGTTTCCACTTTCGACTCTTATGAATAGTGCTGCTATGAATATTGGTGGGAAAATTTTTGTTTGAACAAATGTTTTCCATTCATAGGAATGGAATTGCTCAGTCGTATGGTAATTCAATGTTTGACTTATTGAGGAACCACCAAACTGTTTTTCACAGAGGCTGCGCCATTTTACATTCCCACCAGGAATGTGTGGGGTTCCAGTTCCTCCCCATCTTTGCAACACTTGGTATTGTCTTTTTTTCCTTCATGGTAGCCATCCTGGTGGGTATGAAGTGGCATCTCATTGTGGTTTTGATTTACCTTTCCCTAGTGACTAGTGATGCTGAACATTTTTTTATGTGTTTTATTGGCCATTTGTATATCTTCTTTGGAGAAATGTATATTCAGGTCCTTTGCCCTTTAAAAATGAGTTGTTTTTTGTTATTAATTTGTAAGAGTTCTTTGTATATTCTGGATACAAGACACTGATTAGATACATGATTTGCAATGTTTTTTTCTCATCTGTCTGTTGTCTTTTCACTCTCTTGATAGTGTCCTTTGATGGACAAAGGTATTAAATTTTTATGCACTTCACTTTATCTATTTTTTCTTTTGTTGCTTATGCTTTTGGTGTTATATCTAAGAAACCATTGCCAAATCAAAGTACGTGAATATGTACCCCTGTATTTCCCTTGTAAGTTTTATTAGCTGTTATATTTAGGTCTTTGATTGATTTTGAGTTAATTTTGTTTATGGTGTAAGTAAGGTAAGGGGTTAAATTCATTCTGGATATCTGGTTGTCCCATGTTGAGTGTTTTTATCATGAAAGGGTGTTGGATTTTGTCAAATACCTTTTCTGTATCAATTGAGATGATGTGTCGTTTTTCTTCATTCTATTAATGTGGCACATTAGTTTCCTAGGGTGGCTATAACAAAGTACTACAGGCTGAGTAGTGTAAAATAATGGAAATTGGGCCAGCCCATGGCTCACTTGGGAGAGTGTGGTGCTGATAACACCAAGGCCGTGGGTTCGGATCCCTAAATAGGGATAGCTGGTTAGCTCACTTGGGAGAGTGTGGTGCTGCCTACACCAAACCAAGGGTTAAGAACCTCTTACCAGTCATCTTTTTAAAAAACAAACAAAAAAACAATGGAAATTTATTCTCTCACAGCTTTGGAGTGAACGGTGGCCACAAGTTCTAGAGGCCAGAAATCTAACATCAAGGTGTTGGCAGTGTTGTCTCCTTCAGAGGGCCTTGAGGGAGAATCTTTCCATGCCTCTTTCCTAGCTTCTGGTGGTTGCCAGCAATTCTTAGTGTTTCTTGGCTTACAGATGTGTCACTCCAATCTCTATCTCTATACTCATGTCTTCACATGGCATTCTCCTCTCTATATCCCTATATGTCTCCACGTTCAAAGTTCCCTCTTTTTATAAAGACACCAGTCATTGGATTAGGACCCACCTTCACCCAATATGGCCTCTTCTTAACTTGATTACATCTGTAAAGCCTCTATTTCCAAATAAGATCGCATTCACAGGTACCAGGGGCTAGAACTTGAACATAACTTTTTTGGGGAATACAGTTCAACCCCAGTTCACATGGTGTGTTACATTGATTGATTTTCTTATGTTGAACCACCTTTGTATTTCTGGAATAAATCCCACTTGGTCATGGTATATGATCCTTTTAATATGCTTCTGGACTTGGTTTGCTAGTATTTTGTTAAGGATTTTGCATCTTTATTCATAAAGGATAGTGGTCTGTAGGTTTCTTGTGCTGTCTTTATCTGGCTTTGGAATCAGGGTAATGCTGGCTCGAATTAGTTAGGAAGTTCCCTTCCCTTCTGTTTTTTGGTAGAATTTGAGAAAAATTGGTGTTAATTCTTCTTTAAAAGTTTGGTAGAATTTACCAGTGAAATCATCTGGTCCTGGTCTTTTCTTCCTCGGGAGTTTTTGATTACTGGATTTTATTTCCTGTTATGGATCTGTTCAGATTTTCTATTTCTTCTTGAGTCAATTGGGTAGTTTGTGTGTTTCTAGGAATTTGGTCATTTCGTCTAGGTTATCTAATTTATTGGCATACAGTTGTTCATAGTATTCTCTCATAATCCTATTTTATTTCTATAAGATTGTTAATAATGTTTCCACTTTCATTTCTGATTTCAATAACTTGAGTCCTCTCTTTTTTTTTCTTTGTCAGTCTAGTTAAAGGTTTGTCAATTTGTTGATCTTTTTAAAGAACCAACTTTTGGTTTCATTGATTCTCTCTATTGTTTTTCTGTCCTCTATTTTGTTTGTCTCCACTCTAATCTTTATTGTTTCCTTCCTGTGTTTCTTTGGTTTAGTTTGTTCTTTTTCTAGTTCATTAATGTGTAAAATTGGGTTATTGATCTGAGATCTTCCTTTCTTTCTTTTTTCTTTTTCTTTATTTTCTGTGGGGGCAGCTGGCTGGTACAAAGATCCAAATCCTTTACCTAGGTGTTATCAGCACCACACTTTAACCAAGTGATCTAACTGCCAGCCAGAGATCTTTCTTTTTCAATGTAGGCATTTACAGCTATAAATTTTCCCCTGAGCACTGCTTTTGTTGCACCCTGTAAGTTTTGTTTTTTGTTTGTTTTTCGCAGCTGGCTGGTACAGGGTTCAAACCTGGACCTTGGTGTTATCAGCACCACGCTCTAAACAGCTGAGCTAACCAGCCAGCCCACACATTCTGTAAGCTTTGGCATGTTGTATTTTCATTTTCATTAGTCTCAAGATATTTTTTCATATCCTTTGTTGAAGAGGTTTAAGTCCCACTGGTTGTTTAAGAGGAGCTCAAGATACTTTATAACCCAGAAAGTCAAGGATCAGTTCTTTCTTGTCTCCTCATGTCTGTAGACCCACCAAGCAGAAGTTTGGGAGATCCTTTTCCTTCTCTGTTATGGGTCCCTTGTCCTGGTTGAATGGTGGGCTTACTGTAAGCAGTGAGGGCTACTAAGAGTTTGTTTCATTGTGAATTACTAATGATCATGGGTACGTGCAGTTTTCCCACAAGGTGCTTTGCGTTACTTAGCACTTGCTGAGTGAGCGAATACCCAAGGCCTTTGATGGAAAGTACCAAAACACGAAAACTTAATACATCATATTTCTATCCCTATATATGAACATTTCAGAAATAAATTGGTCAAATGAGCTGAGTATCAGGGATTTGTGGGTTTTGGTTTCCATCTCTGAACCTCACCTGGCAAAGTGTCACAATTTATCAGTCCTCACAAATGCAAACAAGCATCCGCAGTTTAGTCCCAACTTCAGCCCTTACTAGCTCTGTGAGCCTGGCAAGAGCTGTGATGATAACAGCTGATACCTCTTGAATACCTGCCATGTGCCAGGCCCTGTTCTAATGTATATATGAGAATACACGTAGTATTCTCATTAGTCCTCACAGTCACCTAATGACATGTAGGTACTGTCATCATTCCCATTTTCCTGATGAAGAAACTGAGGTGCAGTGAGGTGAATAAGTTTTGCATGATCGTGCAGCTAATAAGCAGTGATGCTGGGATTTGGGCCCAGGTAGTGTGCCTCAGAGTCTGTGCTGTTAACCATAATACTGTGTGGTCAAGTTTCTTAGCCTCACTAAGCCTGGGTTTCCTTAAATATCAAATGGGGATAACAGTTATTATGCTTCAGGGCTGTTGTGAGGATTAAGTGGTCTGATGAGTGTGAAGCCCTTCACTCATTGAGTGAAAATAACCAGCTGGTAGGGCTGCGAATGGGCAGCACAAGGTCAGTTGACCAGAACTAAAGCAATGGGGCAGTGACAAGGCCTTGAATTAAGTTCAGGTGCTTTGCCCCCAGCAGTCGTGAATCCCCACACTGCAGTGACAACAGAAGGCCTTCGGGAGACTTAACCTGTGTCCATGCCTCTCTCAAGCCAGCCAGGTAGAGGTACTCTTATTTCTAGATAACAAAACTTTGGCTCAGAGATGAAAAGGATTTGTTTGTGGACACATGACTAATAAGTAGAAAAGGTGGGATTTGAACCCAGGTGAGACTGTGTGCAGAGCCAGCGTCCTAGAGCCTGCACTGCCTTAGCTCCCGCAGTTTCCACATTCTCTTCTCACTGTTGCTCCATGTCCCCACCTCCACTCACCTCAGGGCTTCTGCTGATACAATTCCATTTTTCTGGATTACCTTCTCTTGTTACCACCACGAGTAACAGTTCTCTGAGTCACTCATGGACAGGCTCCTGTGCTGCCTACTCCACGGGAGGAAATCTAATGACATCTCCACCTCCCTCCGCTGCCTTTATTCCCTCCCTCACTGGTACTTAAATCCTCACGTAGTTTTCTCCTTCCCCACACTTGCTGGGTGGAGGAACCTAAGGCTCAACCTTCCTGCCCCCACTACCCCATGACCAAGCCTCATCACAGTGTGACCCCTGCAGAGTTGTGCACTGCTGGGCCTGCAGGTGGGGGGTGAGGGCACGTGGCTGCTGGGAGCCCTTGGCCCTTTGGAGGAATCAGAAGCCCAGTACATGACACTAGAGAGCTCTCTAGGGGTCAGAGACCCTTCGATCTGTATCCTGGTCATATCGTCATACATGTAGCAGTAAGTACGGAGTGTGTCCATTACAAAATAGTGCACCAATCAATATTATAGTTTTGAGTTATTATGTACTGTTATTATAGTAATTGCTGTTTTTTTTATAATATAGCTGAGTTATTAGTCCAGGATTGTGGTCTCCACCGGGAGTGCACATAAGAATCTTTGTGAAACTTTATAAAAATACAGAATGCCAGACCTCCACTTCAGGTCTGTTGAGTTGGAATCTCTGGGAGATGGGGTCTGGACTGTTGTAATTTTTAAAGCTCCACATACATGAGAAAACAGACAGTGGTGAACTCAGGGAGGGAAAGTGAGAAGAGGACTGTTCACATTTGTCATTTTTGAATTGTGAGCCAGGTGAATATATTACCTGTTCAGAAAATAAATTATTTTTTATTTATTTATTTATTTATTTATTTTGTCTTTTTGTCTTTTTTCATGTCCGGCAACAGATCGCAACCCTCAGTGTTGCCCCCGTACTGGACCGGGGACCGGCAACGGGATCGCAACCCTTGGCGCTGCTCCTGCGCCTCGCTCAGCCAGTGAGCGGGAACCGGTCTGCATGTGGGATCCGAACCCTCGGGCGGGAGTGCCGCCGCGCTTCCCAAGCGGCGCACTATCCAGTGCGCCACCGGGCCGGCCCAATAAATTATTTTTTAAAAATAAACTTACTAGGGCCGGCCCAGTGGCGCACTGGAGAGTGCGCTGCTTGGGAGCGTGGCAGCGCTCCCGCCGAGGGTTCAGATCCCATGTGGAGACCGGTTCCCGCTCACTGGCTGAGCGCGGTGCGGGCGCGACACTGAGGGTTGCGATCCCGTTGCCGGTCAGTAAAAAAAAGACAAAAAGGAAAAAAAAAATAAGCTTACTAAAAATACTCTATGTTATGTTTTCATATATACATAGTAGGAGGAAAAGGATAAAAATGTGTAGGAGATGGTGTAGCACACTGCTGGGTGTGAGAATGGAGCGGGGAAGGTGTGTGTTTGGTTCCATCTGTAATGTTTTATTTCTTTAAAAAGAGATTTGAAGCAAAAAGACAAAATCTGTTCAGTTTGTGTGGTGAATATATTGGTGTGTTATGTTATTTTCTGTTTGAAACATTTTATAGTTCAAAACAAACATTTAAAATTAAAATAAAGAAAAAGTAAAAAATGTTCTCAGATAGCTCAATGTGCTCCTGGCAAGAGGTTAATAGGAAAGGTGAATTTACTGATTTTCCTCAATAAGGAGGTTTATAATCAGGGGCTTTCTGTGTTTCAATAACGCAAGTCACACGTGAAACACGAGTAGGGTCTGTGAGGTCCCTGACCTGTAGTCCCTGTCCTAGGTATGTGTTTCTTTACATTTCAGGTATTCGTGGCCAGTCCTCACAAAACGCAGCCTATTGTGGAGATTCTATTAAAAAATCAACCCAAACTCATTGAGTTTCTGAGCAGCTTCCAAAAGGAGAGGACGGATGATGAGCAGTTCACTGACGAGAAGAACTACTTGATTAAACAAATCCGTGACTTGAAAAAAACGGGCCCTTGAAGGTCTCACTGTTTCCTGCCACAGTCATTCGTCTCATTCATCCAATTTGTCCAATAAGTGTCATTTCAAAAAGTCATCATTCTTGGGAAGGCTTTGGAGGTGCCTGTTTTTTCTCAATTTTTCTGGGTAGATGGAATATAAACATTTGAATGGAAAAAAATTAACCTAGAATAATATATTCATTTTAATCCAGTCTGTGATTATTTATGTGAAATCAAAGGCATTGTATTAGACGTTGATAAAAGCAGTTTTAACTTGCAGACCCAAGCCCTCTGTCACCATGAGCCACCAAGTGGGTGCCACCAAGTGGGGGCACCACCTGAGTCTTCAGGGAGGACTGAGTTCTCAGGGGAGAACTGGGAATGGGGTCAGGAGGTGCAAAGTTGCTTTACCTATCTGCACTTAGACAAACAGATTTCTTAAGGCACTGAGAGATCTCAGAAGATAAGTTTAATGTTTTCAGTCATTATGTGTCCTTCTGTTCCTGCCCAGTATGCATTGACTGTAGTTAGTGGGTCCTAACCTCCTGGGGAACCTATGCCCTCCTCTGAGCCCAGCCCCGCTTTCTGCTCACTGTCCCACACTCCGTCCCAGCAGAGCTCCTCAGTACCCTGACTGTGGCCCATGTCTGCTCCTCCTGCAGTCAGGTTAGCATGGGAGCAACTGTGTAGGAACAGGATGGATCAACAAGGGTCACGGGTCATCGAGGACCCACGGGGTGTGACCTGCTCACTGGAGAACTGCGAACAGATGGTCTAGATAGAGTTGCTACTGTTCCACATTGACTTCTGGAAGGTAAGGGGGTGTCGGAATACTTCACTCATAATTGTCATTATGGGAAGAAAGCTTTGTGGTGTAAGTGTGTTTTGGAGTAGGAATTGTTGCCCAGGAGGTACAAAACCATGGGTCCAGCAGGATAACTTTTATCAATAAGGGGACATCACCCTTGGAAGGGGAAATGATTATGATTAATGCATGGAAAAATTCTCAAATGACTAAAAATTCTTTTTTTAAAAAAAATTGTTTTCTAATAAGCTGTCATTCTATAATTGCCCATCAAAGTCTTCAGTGAAAAGAGAAAAACCTATAAATTTTGGTCCCCAATTTTCTGTTGCATACTAGGACGATAAGGAGTTGTGTTCCTTATAAAAAAGGCATGGAAGCAAAAAATAAATTCAAAAAGGTCATGGTTTATTTTCAGACATCAAGTGTATAAAATGGAATTTTAAAGCTATTTTGCAAGACATTAAAGGTACGATTGCTAATCTGTATTTTTATAATTCTGTTTTTGAATTATGAGTTGTTACCTTCATAGGAACCCTTGCTTTTTACAATACTTGGTTGCTGTGTTCTTTTTCTTCAGCCAGATATTTCTTTACCCACAGAGGGGAAGAGAAATGAATTCTCCAGGATTGGTGCCCCTTGTAGATTTTGCACCTGAAGAATTACCTGGCAAAGCTTCAGCCTTCTTGGCTGGGGCGCAGGTGTGTTTTGCTTTTGGGCCCAGCGTGGAATCCTGAGGCAGATGGCTGGGGCCTGCTGTGCCTCCTCGTGGCAGCACTGCCCAGTGCCAGCGAGTGAGGTTCAGCGGCAGCCCCTGATGATCTGCATTCTCTCTAGCCACCGAAGTCAGACTGTTTTTATAGCATTCCCAGAGTCTCTTAGAATTTGACTTTTCTGGTTTAGCTTATTTGATTAAAAGAGATGAGTGTAAATATTTTTTTAAATGAAGGTACAATAGCCACTGGAAATGTATTTGATTGCTTAATACTGTTCCACAACATCATGGGACACATGTTTTCAATTTGGAAAGCAAGGCCTTGTTATAACTTTTTTTTGATAAAGCATATTTTGTTTCTTTTGGGCTTGAATTAGTTCTTTCCTAGCAACTCCTTATCCTAGCTCAATGCCTGTCAAACAGAAAATTAGAGTCTGGGGTTTTGTTGTGATATGAATTTGTAAATTATTAATGCAAAAAGGGGAGCAGGAAACAGTCAAAATCTGTTTGCACAGAGTTCACTGTAAATATTGTGAGGATTAAATTTTGAAAAGGTCATATTTAATAAGCTGTTTCAAAAGCAAACGTTTAAATAAAGACTGACTAAATAAAAAGGTACCACGTACTCCTTGCTCTGTTTTATTCCTCTACATGTCGTTGCCTATGTTCTTGTCACTTCTACAAACAGGGAAAGCCCCAGCTGAAGGGCAGACCAGCCCTGTAGGGCCTAAGACTCACTGAGGCCTAGCACTGTCTTTCCACTCTCTGCCAGCCAGTGACCCTGTCCATCACATCCCACCGTCCAAGTGATGCTGACTGCTGGTGAATGAGGGCCACCTGTCAGTCACTAAATCTGCACATCCCATTATTGGTGCACAGCTAGGTTTAACTCTCCCAGATCCAACATGAGATGCACTAGAGACAAACCCATGGTGGCCTAAAGCCAAGCTCCTGTCCTTTTTCCCTCTTTCGTCCTCATGGCTGTGAACCAAGCACACCCCAGGTGTTGAGAACTAACGAGCTGCTGTCCCCTGATGCTGCCGGGGAGGCTCCCAGTTGTTAAGGTCCCAGAGTGAGGCCAGCAAGGGCTGAGATCACAATGTTCTTGGACGAGGCTCTAGGCTAAAGCCAGGCATCTGCCCAAGTGTTCGGATTACTCCTGGAGAAAAGGCTCAGCAGCGCACGCCTGTTATAAATGCTCCTGACTCCCAGCCTTGTGGGTTCTCACCCTCTGATGGCTCTGGAGAATAGTATGTGTGCCCAGGAGGGGCCGGGAGCTTTTCAAAGCCCCGTCACTAGCCGTACTGGTTTGTCTGTGCATTTCCCGCTAGACACAGCTGCTCTGAGTCATGGTGCAGTCTGGAAGTTACACAAAACCTGAAAGTGACTGTAATAATGTGAAGGAAAATGAAATTCAAAAACTACTGTAATTGTTTTTAAAGTGAAAAGATAGTTGTTTCAAAATAGATTTACAGATCTTGCTAGTCATATTATATTTTATTATTATATTGTCTTTTACTTGTTTTTCTGTTTCATCCAAAAAATATAGTACATATGACATGAATAATCACCATGTTTTCATGGGTGTTCTTTCAGGAAGGTTTTTAAAAAAAAATTTTTTTTGATGGCTGGCTGGTAAGGGGATCCAAACCCGTGACCCTGGCATCACCAGCACCACGCCCTCCCAAGTGAGCCAACTGGCTGGGCCTCAGGAAGGTTTTGGACATTTTAGTGAGGGCTCACAGTTGGATAAAAGTCTGAAACTTAAACTATAAGGAAACCTTGAAAAGCTAGACTTAGTCTGCCTAAGAAGATTGAGAAGATTAAAGATTGGATGTGAACAAGGACAGTGTTTTGTTTTGGAAATATGGAAACTGCTGTTGTGTAGCTGCCATCATTAAAGCAGAACAAAACACAATGGCAAGCCTGGCCTGCACTAAGCCTGTACAGACATCTCACTTAAGTCTCCACTTGGTGGAAGAAGAACATGGAACCACTGGAAGGGTGAGTAACTTGCTCCAGATCCAACGGGTGGCAGTGGAGCCAGCATTTAGGGCCAGGTCTGACCCCAAAGCTGGGCTGCAGGTCCAAACCACCTCCTGCCAGGCCTGCTCCTCAGGTCTCCACCTGGGTCAGACATGTCATTTCCTCATGGCCCCATGAAAAAGAGGAAGTCCTGGATGCCAGGGCTAAAGGATAACTCAATGGAAAGATTTTAAAAGTTAGATTCATGCAGGAGAGTAACTTTACTCCACTTAGTTATCTGAGTTCGGAAGATCAAATTAGACCTCTGTAGGGTAGGGGCATTTGACCTTGAACATCTCCATTATGTTGAGCCATCCCTTTGCTGAAGTGAGCAGGACCGAAGCCATGTTGGGACCGAAAGCTGCCTGGGCTGCAGTGGTGGGAGGATTTTTAAAAGGACAGTTTTTTCCTCTTCACTCTTTCTTTCCATCCCCTGACTTTCTTACCTCACTCACTAAGTAGGAAAACAAGGCTGAGAAGCTAATAGAGCCATCCCTTTGCTGAAGTGAGCAGGACCGAAGCCATGTTGGGACCGAAAGCTGCCTGGGCTGCAGTGGTGGGAGGATTTTTAAAAGGACAGTTTTTTCCTCTTCACTCTTTCTTTCCATCCCCTGACTTTCTTACCTCACTCACTAAGTAGGAAAACAAGGCTGAGAAGCTAATAACTTCTTTGCAAAGCTAACAGTTCTTTCTTTGAGACTTATAGAGTTTTGAGAAATGATCAAGGCCAAATAACTGAAGCTGACCTTGGGCACCAGCCAAGTACACTGGCACAAATCAGAATCTTGCAGGGTCCTGGGATAACAGTGAAGATGAAAACAAAAACCAGATGAGGCCTCGGCAAGACCTGACCCATAGAAACGGACCCCTCGTAACTCATCTCCCGCACCATCCCACATTTCACCTCCCACATTCCATTCCCTCAAGCTTTCCTGTAGAAACCCCTCAGTAAATGTAAATCTTTGCGATGGGGTAGCCTACCATCTCCTTCAGCTGAATACATCTGCTTTTCTAACACCAACCATTTGACTTCTGAGTTTTTTTCTTTCCTTTTCAAGGGGGTGGGCAGCCAGACCTGAGTCCGGTAATACCTTGACTCTAATAGGCATTTATTTCAGCGGCACCTACTCTTGTTTCCTTGGCTCGCCTCTTCAGTTGGACATAACACCGGCTGAGATCTCTGATAGGAGCTGTGGCTTCCCCACCAGCCGTTCCCCACTTCACAGTCACATTCCTCAGGGGCCCAGGGCCGTGGGCTTACCGCAAGGCTGAAGTTCATGGTGGGTGTACACGCAACACCTGCGGGGTCGCCTCCTCCCCTCGTCACTCCCTCAGAAGAGGAGGATGTGCAGTTACAATGACGTATAATAAAGTCACCATCAAAACACACATATGCAAAAGGTCACAACCCCTCTACCAGGGGACTTTGGGGATGGCCACACCTGGACTAAAGCCTTAGCTTCACTACTAACTGTTTGATCTTGAGCACTGAGCTTTAGTTTCCTACCTGGAAAACAGGCGAAAAGAGGACCTGCCTCACAGGATCATTGTGGGAACCAAGGACGCCAAGTATGCCACGTGCCCAGCTCAGAATGGATACCCTCTCACCACAGCAAGAGAGAATTCCACTGCAGTGTGAGCGCCATGGGCCTGAAGCATGGTGTGGTCAGAAAGTGACGGGTTGTCTGGGGCATGTGGACATGTGGAGGGGGGCTGAGAGGGGTGCCTTGAATGCCGAATTAAGGGTTTGAGGCCTGCATTAAGGTAGCTGGCCTTTAAGCAGAGTGACGTGAACCCTGGCATGTCTGAGCAAGGCGGCTCTGGAAACCTCCGGAGTGGGGAGTGGTGAGGGAGGGGCCACAAGATGATGAGGACTTTCTAACAACAGCCCTGCGGACTCGGGGCCTGCTCTGTCAGGCCCTGTTCTAGATGCTTCCCAGGTATTAAATCCAGTCCTCGGAACCACCCAGTGAAGCATGTACTGATCATCTCAATTTTACAGATGCGGAACAGAGGCGCAGAGAGGGTCGCTTACCCAAGATTGTACAGGAAGCAGATGGTGGCACAGGATTCAAACCCAAAGCCCAGAGGCAGACATTTACGACAACACTGAGCGGGCTTACTGCCGCATCACTTCCAGACGATACAGGCCTGAGTAGGTGGTGACGTGCTCAAGCAAGAGAAGGAGCTTGGGATGAGGGGCAGACGCACATGAGTGTCCAGTGCCTGGAGATGTCCAGGCGGCCATTGCACAAATGGATCTGCAGTTTTAAGAAAGGCATGGGGCAGAGGCACCGACTTGGGGGTTGCTTGAGATCCGAGTGAGGGGAAGCAGCGCATTTCTTGCTGATATTCAAGCCTCGGGACCCACTCACCCTTTCACCTGATTTGCTTGTACTTTAACCTCATCTGTAACTATGCCCCACCTGGAGACTTGCCCCCACCTCCGAGTGGAGTGCAGGGACCCACCACGCTCTTCCCTGCTGCCCCTCCTCTCGTTCAATCCGGGGGCAGAGGGATGCTGGGCAGCAGGGGGACTCCACCAGCCTAGGCACATGCAGCACAATCCCAAGACTTAGCTGTGTCAGTCAGAGCTAGTTGTTCAACGGTTTGGTAGCCCCCTTATCCCAAAGACCAGGTTAACAGTGAAAAGTGCCATCGGGACAAAGGGTGGTTGACCTTCAAGCCAGGGCCTCACTGTGTCTCTCAGCCCCCACCCTCAGGAGGTCCTTACCAGGACCCTGGCATCAGGGACAGATAATCCTTCTATAATCCCAGAACTCTCAGGGGAAAGGGGCTAGACCTGACTGCAGACTCGTGTTCCTTCTGTAGGAGGGGAAAGCCTCAGCCCTTTTTCCGGGCATCCAGCCTGACATTCACATGGCCGTGACCTGCCCTGCCCACATGAATGAAACTCTGTGCTGCCGAGGGTGTGGGAGGAAGGAGGAGGGTGCGCCTGTGGCTGCCCGGAGGCGTCTGGCAGCACCAGCCATGCCCTTCACCTTGACCAGGGACTGTTTCCAAGCAGAGTAAGCAGACTGGCTTTATTCAGTTGTCAATTTGCTGTGCCCATGTGAATCCAGATGTAGCACACGACCTGCAGCCAGGAAACTGCAGATGAGAAGGCCAGGGCAAGGAAGGCACAGGATCCCTCACCTGTCACTGTTAGGGGAGGCTCAGAATCTGGCCCTGGCCTGGATGCCATCCCCTTCCTGGCAAGGTCCTGGGAGAGGAGCTTCTCTCTGGGCAGGGGGTGGGGGGAGCCCACCAGCCCCAGGGGCGAGTCTGTGAGTCAGTTCACCGTCAGATGACAGTATCCACAGGACTCCCGCCAAGGTGTATGTGCTGGGGGGTAGTGGGTTTGACCCCTGTCCAGTGGCTGCCTGTGAGGATCCAAAGGCCTGGACTACTGGGCAAACACCAGTCTCCAATGAGGCCTCTGCATCCAGTCTGCTAGCATCTCCTCTTATCTCTTCCAAGGAGGCTCTCCAACTGAGGCCAGCTCCCAGGTCACTGAGACGAGGCGAGAGCTCCACAGGGTTGAAGGAGGAGGGACATATTCCTTGTCCTCAGGGTCCTCATTCACTCCCATGTCCTGAA